TGCATGAAGCTCTGCAAAATTGATCCACTGAGTTTCATCAATCTCAAATTCTAACCATTTTTTTTCTTGAATGTTCTGTTTTCTGACCTCAGGACCATGACCAAATTATATGAGGATGCTGACTGGTCACAGAAGGATCTAGGGGAGATTATCAGTGAAGCCCGGAAGCAAGCAACCAAATGCAAAAGGAATGCTTTTTCCTTGCAAAATCTGAAGAATTATTACAGGGAGCTGAGTGAACGGACAGCAGCAGGACATAAAACATCTTTTATCGATCTGTGGGGACTCATGATTGAAGCCATGTTACAGGATGGGGTACTATATGCCCACCTTCTGTTCAGAGGGGAAATAATGATTTTTTCCTAGAAAAAATGGGAAAATTAGGAGAAAACTAAACCTCAGGAAAAGATATCCTTTCAATATCATTATTCAGTTATTCACACAATGACATTCTACCATGACATTCTATTACTAATTTAGTAACAGTTAGGGGAGGCAGCATAGGAGATAAAGACACGACTAGAGCTCATTTAAACTTTCTAACTAACTTTAAATTAGCTAACTTGGGTACTTCCAGAATAGCAACATGTTGTTCAGAGCGGGCTAGTTGCTCAAATATTTATACTGGTTCCTGAGCAGGGTTTGAAACCTACATTAAATTTAATTTTGCCACCGCTGTACCACTAGCATTACCTGAGATAGGTGGTTTAAAAACAATTAAACAATTAAGGTATGTTGATAGGCTACAGTCAGAGGTATAGTCATGCCTTTGTCTGTTGGTGAGACATGCCCCCATATTGCTAAAAAGAAAGGGATATTCCAGCTATATGCTCACTGCATGGAAAGGAAGCTCAGGCTTGTGTACAGAACTCTGGAATGTAAGAAGCATCCTAGGTATGCAGAAAGCTGATAGCCACAGATTTAGGATTATTATCTGAAGGATACTGCCTAATATTCTGAAGCATATTTAATGAAAATAATCGATTTGTAAAGCTATGATTTCCCTCTCCTAAGAACAGTTGCTATTACATTGTTGTGGAATCTGAAACAAGACTCAGTTTTTGTGTGACTTAGCAAGGGGTGTGTTAGTGATGTTCCACTTAATTAAAATATACTGCATTAACACTGCAGTCTTTACAAAGTATAGTCCTGGAGGGATTACAGCCTTCAGGAACTTCAAAATAGCAGTACGTCAGCTTGTGGAGGCCATTTGGGTTTGACCTCAAGCAGATGTTCCTATGATTTGTTTTATGACAAGATTGTTTTTAATAGTAAAGCTTCCAAGCCATTGTGTTAGAGCATTACTTCTGCACAGATAGCTAGAGAAGCACTTTCATTTTAAGACTCTGTACATACAAGGTTGAGAGGAAAAAATCCACTCACCAAAAACCTTTTCTAGACAAAATTAATTTACATATCCTTCAACTCGGTATTGCTTGGCTGAAAAACCCACCCACAATGTATACTTTAGGCTGAGTCATCAAAAAAATCAGATGGATTATATATGTAATCAGATCGATTATATGTAAATTCAAATCTAACCCATGAATATATTCATTCAGTTATGTTTATTCTGGATGATTCAATTATGACTTTTTATAGAAAATATAGATGTCATTAATATGATGGCATGAAGAATTGTTTTTTTAAAAGATCAAAGTAGAACTTTGCTCGTCTATTCATTTTTTCTATACTATGTGGACATACAGTACAAGACATATAAGTAACCTGTTAAATACTAAAATTATTAGGGCTGTGTGAAGCTTCAGTCCCTAATTTGATTTGGTGGAGATTCTGCCTTATTTGGTGGCTGAATCTTTGAATTCAAATTGAATCAGGAGACCCTTTAATCTCTCCGAATCAAATTGGAACCCTCTGAATTGATTTGGAGAGATTCGGAAAGATTCGGGGCTTCAGACATAGACACAACTTTAAATGTTTTTTCTACATACCTCAAGGTACCAGGCGGCTCGTGAATGCTGCAGTGGTGGGGTGGATGGAGCATAGGGAGGAGCGTGGGGGCTCTCCAGTGGGTTCGGCAGCACTTTTGCCCCACTTCCAGGTCCTCTGGGGAGTGTGCTGGGGGCCCCCCCAGGCTCAGCAACTGGTACCTCCTGGGTCTGGGGGGGCACCCAGGGTCCCCCCGCAGCCAATCACTGAGCTGGAGGGGTGCAGGGGGGCTCCCTTGTGCGCTCCCTGGTGGACCTGGAAGTGGACTGGAATTACTTCCAGTCCACTTCTGGGTTTGCCACGGAGCATGTCAGAGCCCCCCGCCACACTCCTGTGGCATGCTTCATCTGTCCCAGCATCGCAGCATTCACGAGCCACACCTGGTACCTTGAGGTATGTAGAAAAAACATTTAAAGCTATGTTTATGGCCGAATTGCTGATTCTTCAAATCAGCATCGAGTCTTCAGATTCAGACTCAGCCGAATCAAACTGGGGACTGTGATCCGAATCAATGAATTGAATCGCTGTCCCCGATTTGGGCCAAATCCAAATCCAAATCGAATATGGCCTGTTTCGCAAACCCCTTAAAATTATCCACTGAAATAGAGTATAAGCTGGGCAGTAGATTTCATCTTAGGGTGAAGTTACATGTTACACATAGACCATGCTAAGGGCACTTAAAACATAAGCATACACATATTAAAGTTCATTAACTCATGCTAAGTACCCTCTGAGCATCTCAGGGTTATACCACCTCAGGTGAGGGTTAACTCTCACCATGCTACCTAGCTTGTGTTAGGGTAACTTCAGTCTGCTCCAAGGAGATAAAACAAGCAACATGTAGTCCTCCAGCATCTCAGGCTACCCTGCTCCCATCCTTCTCCCCAGCACCCAGAATAATTTTCTATGCCTCCCTGTGTGCCATCTCACCCCCAGGGAAGGACTCCTGCCTGATCTGCACAACAAAGAGCAATGTACAAAGACACTCTCATGGACCCTGAGGGAGACTTCAATCTTCAGCTTCCTCTGTGCAAAAATGAAGTTTATTTCCTACCTGTGGGGACTTTTTACCATCTTTAATTTTCCCTGAGCCTGATGAAGGGCTTGGGAGCCTGAAAGCTTGCAGAAAAAGATAATTTTTTTGCGATTTCTTAGTTGATCTAATAGGGTGTGTATAGATGAAATAGGGGCCCCAAATTGACGCAGTGCGTTTTTAAAAATACTGCTTCAATTTAGGGCCCTTTAACACCCCATGTCATGCACACACCCAAACTTACTTGCTTCTCTGGAGGTGAGGAGGGGAGGGCGAGCTGCTGGCAGGTGGAGCAGTCCCTGGGCTGCGTGGGGGGGGGGCTGTTGCTTCCCTCCGCAGCAGCCCCGTCCCCCAACGGCACCCACCCACAGGCACCCAACTTGGATGGTTCTGGAGGGCACCGCAGCCATGGAGGGAAGCACCAGGCCCCTGCACAGCTCAGGCAGGAAGGCAGGCTCCAGGGGGGGGGAAAAAACATCAGGCTTGCCACTTTTCTTGGGCACAGACTGCCTTCCTAGGCTGCTGCCAGGCTTCCTGCAGAGCTGCGGAGCTTCACGGAGCCCAGTGCTTCTCTCCATGGCTGTAAGCACAGCAAACTAAAACTCCTCTAAGTCATTTAAGATGCATTAAGCTGCCAAATTTCCTACAGCGGCTGGAATTAATGTGCAATATGCCACTGAGGCATGAAAACACCGACACCATTAAAGTGGTGCAAAAGCATTTATCCCACTTTAAAGTGTCATGCACACACACCCTTCATTTTGTTTACATACGGCCATAAAAGATATCATCTCTGAACCAAGAGTTCTAGAATTTTTTGCATTTCTTCTGGACTGTTTACAGCACATTCTAACTTTAACAAGACGTAATATTCCACAGATTTAGGATTTAGTATGGTCTAAGCATAACATATAACTTCACCCTTAATAAAGACTGATATAGACACCCTCTTCTCATAATGCATCTCTCTCTCCCCCTGTGAATCGGGTATCAGGTGTACCTGGGTAGTAGTTAATACAGTTCAGTGAAATCCCAAGCCTAGATGCTGTGGTAGGTCTGTATTCATTGCTGAAGTCTGTCAGTTAACCATTTCTTTCATACACAGAAAGATCACCATAGACTCTCAGATCAGAAAAAGGCAGTGAATCTTGGGCAGAACCCACTACCCATCTACCTGGCGCTCAACGTGAAGGACAAAATCACCACTAAAGAATTTAGAGGTAATTATTATATTCAACTATTATAGCTTTGTTTAAATCTAAGAAGACTCTTAAGGCTGGACACATCATTCAGAAAACATAGAATCTTCTAATCTCTCACTCCAGACCAGAAACAACCCTATCAGGAGGTTTGGAAAGATCTAGACACTTTAAAATATCCATATCATAAATTTGCTTTCACTTGCTGTGCATTTTGACACTGCAGCAGAAATTAATCTTGCAAAAGTACTGCAAACAGAAGCTGTTCTTACAGTTTTATTTTGCCTTAGTGGCAGTAGGTATTGTTGGAAATAATGTAAGAGCCTGTTCTGATGAGCTCTCCGGACACACTGTGCAGATACAAGAGGGTTATATACTCAGATAAGCATCTAAGCTTACGGATTCTGAAATAAAATGATTCTTTCAACCTTATAGTATTCTCATTCATAATTTAGCGATGATTCTGCATGAGTACTCAAAAGAAATATAAAGAAAAGTAGGATATATACATATATTACCAAATGAAGGAGATCACCTGGGATAGAATGTGTCCTGGCATAACTGAACCACTTCACTAGGTGAAACAAAGGTCGTCCATCGTTCCTCAGGTCCGGGCCCTGCCGCTTCTGGGATAACACTTGGGGCATGCCTCTACAAATGGGAGAACTCTGCATTTCCCTGCTAACAGAGGAGTACCTGTGGAATCCTCTGGTTTGCCTTCTCCAATAGGGGAAACCCAGGGATTCCCTATTTGCACAGATACTTCCCAAATTGGATTCTTGAGGTGCACATTTCTACAAACAGGGAAACTCAGTGACGTGCCTCAAGCTGGATTCTCCGAACATACATCATTCCCATTCCCAGGGCACACAGAAACCAGGTCCCTGAAGCCCTGGGAGCATCTGCCTGGGGTGGTTGGAGAATGTGGGCAGCTCCAGGCTGCCCATGCTCTTCTGCCTTAAAGCAACCAGGTGTCTGCTTTAAAATAGCAGCACAGATTCATCCCACCTATGCAGAATCCATAAATGTTGGGTATTTGTGGCACACCAAGGGGCATGGATGTCTGTTTTCTTGGCCTTTGTGCTGCCCTAAATGTGTTTATGGCAGCACATGGGTGATGTATGTTTCCAGCCCATATCCATGTCTCTTTTTCCCTGAAGGAACCTACCTTATTTTGGATGAAAAAGAAGTTGCTCTGTACGTTCTTTCAGTCCTTATGTCCAGGGCTGGCCCATCCTATCCTACAAAACCTGTGGCTGCAGGGGGCTCAACAGCCAAGGGGCGCCCTGTGTCCGGCTGCTCCCCACCCCTCTAGCCCTGCTACTGATGCCACCAGCTTCACGTCTGGCCACTCGTCACCTCCCCCCCGCCACACCAATGCCTATGCCAGCTTCTTTGCATTGGGGGCCCCCAGAACTATATTTTGCAGGGGGCCCCAAAAAATGTGGGCTGGCCTTGCTTATGTCATTCTGTTAATCCCCAAAGGTCCTGGTGTGAAAAATGATGCAATGTTACACTATTTTCATTTAAAGACTTACATGATGTATAGATGTTGTTCTGGCTCTTGAGGATGAGTTCCACTCTCTGCATGTTATACTGCCTCCCACTTATTCAGTCCTATTAGTAACTGACTTGACCACTGTCAGAGTATTAATAAATATAAAGTTAACCATTTTGAAATAACACGTTAATATGCTCAGTGCTGCAATCTTATTCCCCTGAACATTTCTATCGATTTCCTGCATAAAGCCTGCTCTGTCTACCCACTCATGCAGAAGCTTTGCACTGGAAGGGTAGACAGAGTTTGTATCAGTGCTTCCTTTAAAGGACCTAATTCAGGACAGGATCTGAATTTTCAGTTTGATTAGAGGAAGGGCCCAGTTCAGTTTGCCTTCAGTCAGTAAAGTAATTTGGGGGAAGGCAAGCAGAGCGCCAGCCCTGGGCACTGATTCAGAGGTGGTCCCAGAATGGCAGCCCCAGGGAATCCATATGACCACTTCCAGCAGCAGCAACACCAGTCCATGGCTGGGGAGCTTGTACTCAGACAGCAACAACTCCTGCCTCTGTTACAACTATGGCAGCCCCCTGTGTGAGGATGTAAGCACTCAGTCATTTCCCTTTCCCTCTTCCTCCTCACTGCCCAGGGCACCAGCATTTAAATTATGCCCCTGCTTTGGATACAAGCTGAATCAGCTCCACTCCCTGTCAATAATGGCCAAACTTCTCTTCTGTCCTTTTGGGGCTGGGCTGGGCTGGCTCCCTGACTGACTGCAAGCAGATTATGGATTCCTTACATCGACATTCCCCCTGCACAGGGTGGACCATATGCCAAATGATAAAGCTTGCATAATCTGGAGATGAATCAAGGCCACTGGGTGGTCCTTGGCTTCTTTTATGTTCTAAATCACTCTCTGTGCCTTCAAGTAGCATTCATAGTACACACAAAAAAAAAAAGGTAGGTATTACAGTGGTGGTTCCTTAGTCATATGTCACCTTGCAAAAGTTGAAGCTGAGGTTTATTCTACCTCTAACCTTTTTTGCCATTGGCTAAGAGCATTTCTGTATATTCATTGTATTTTCTGGGACTCTGCAGAATGGGTGGAGTTCACCCCTTATGAGGTGGGATTCCTGAAATATGGAGCCTTCATTCGTGCCGAGGATTTTGGAAGCGAGTTTTACATGGGCCGGCTGATGAAGAGGATCCCAGAATCCCGGATATGCTTCATGCAAGGTGACTTACTGACCTAGGAAAACATAAAACCCTAGTAAGATAATGAAGACTGAATTCAGGAATGCGTCACTGTATTGTATTCTAGTGTGTGTCCAGAAGATATTCTGATTTGGGAACTCTCTTATTTCAGTGGCTTTTGGTGCCTTAAATATGGTTGCTGAGCAACTTTGTAAATCAAGTTTTGACAAGATATACAAGCTTTGTAGTTTCAGGATGGACTTTCTTTAGATCCTTTTTTGCTTACTCCAGGGATATATTGGATGTATTTATTAGAGGTCTGGACTACATGCAAATTTATGAACAATTTTGAGTTAAGAAAAAACAGTTTTCATGTTTTTACCTCATTATTTTATTAAATCTCTTCCATTTCATAGGAATGTGGAGTAGCATATTTTCTAAGAATCTCCTGGATGCCTGGCATGCAGCTGACAATTCAGAGGACTTTTGGCATAGATGGACCCAAGCTACAGTGACTGAAATTGGTAAATCCTGCTTTATCCTTAGTTTTATAGCATTTGATTTTTATTTGTCCTATGTGCTTCGCTAGAATGGTTAGCTTTCCTAAACCTGTGACAGCCTGCTCATCTTCAGGAAAGAGGCAGGAGTGAGAGAGGTAAGCAATTGGTAGTGTTGATAAGTAGCAATCGCTTAGGTTGATGTTGGTACCCCATCGATAGGCTCTGCCTCAGGTGAAAAAGACTTGCCAGAGCTTAGGGCCTAACCAGAAGGAGGCAGCAGCTCCCCCCACCACTCTGCATGCCCCTTCCCCTGCTCTGTGCATTTCTTTCCCCATGCTTCTGCTGCACTGAGTATCCCTTCCCTCTGTCCCTTCCCTGTGCTCCCCTTGCTCTGTACTCCCCTTCCCATGTGCTCTTTCCTCATACTTCCCTCACTCTACGCATCCCTCTCCCAGCACCCCTCCTCTGTGTTTCCCCCACTGTGCACATCGCTACCCCTATGCTCCCCCTGCTGCCCTTTCCCCTGTGCTCCCCCTGGCACTGCATATCCTTTCCCCATGCTCCCTCCAGCACCATCTACTCCCCATTTCCCTGCACCCCTCCCTTGCACTTCCTTCACTCTGTACATCCTTTCACTCATGCTTTCCCTACTGCCCTTTTCCCCATGTTTTTCCCACAGCATCAGGTACCCCTTTCATCCATGCTGCCCCCAGGACCACGCATCCCCCTACCTGTCACATGAACCACTCTGGCCCTGTTCGGAGCTGCAGCAGCTGCTTGTCTGGTCCATATTTGAATCTAAAACAAAGGGTTTTTTCCCCATACAGAAGTGAGTGGGGGTTCATCTTAGATTTGAGTAAATATGGTCATTTCTTGAAATAATGAATTTCCTGAATATTGAAGACTGACCAAGCTGTAATTTTCTGCATGCTTATTGTTGCCTTTTTCAAAGGGCATTATATTGGCCCTTTTCGAGTCCTCTGGAACCCTTACACATCTCCCAAGAGTTTGTAAATATTATTGCCAAGGGCTCCAATATCCCATTTGTCAGTTACTTCAGTACCTCAGATTAAGTTCATTAGGCCCTGCAGGCTTGAATTCAGTCGGTCTGAACAAAAGCTCTCTGACACTTTCTTTTGTTGTCATGACCCAATGCCTTTCCCCTTCTTTGTCTATATAATTTTTATTAGCTGTCTGGTTGCAGTTTTTTTTTTTTTTTTTGTGAAGACTGAGGCAAAACAGCTACTGACCCAGTAGCATAATTAGGGCAGGTGAGCAGTGCACCAGCTCTGGATGTTAATTGAGAGGTGGCAACAAGAGCATCCCTGCTCCTCTGGCACTCAGCATTCTTCTCCCTGAGCATTGCTTCTCAGAGCACCAAAATTACTAATTATGCCTCTCTGGCCACATCTACATGAGATGCTGACTGCGCAGTTGTTACAGTGCAGTCATTTAGTACCTGTACAACCAAAGAGAAGGATCTTGGAATCACTATTGATTCCAAGGTGAACATGGGCTGCCAATGTGGGGACGCGGTCAGGAAGGCTAACTGCACCTTGTCATGCATCCACAGATGCATCTCGAGCAGGTTCAAGGAGGTGATACTCCCCCTCTATGAGACACTGGTCAGGCCGCAGTTGGAGTACTGCGTCCAGTTCTGGGTGCCACACTTCAGGAGGGATGTGGACAACATGGAGAGGGTCCAGAGGAGGGCCACTTGCATGATCAGGGGGCAGCAGGGCAGGCCCTATGAGGAGAGGCTACGGGACCTGAACCTGTTCAGCCTCCACAAGAGAAGGCTGAGAGGGGATCTGGTGGCCACCTATAAACTTGCCAAGGGGGACCAGCAGGCAATGGGAGAGTCCTTGTTCCCCCGAGCACTACCAGGGGTAACAAAGAACAATGGCCATAAGCTGACTGAGAGTAAATTCAGGATGGATATCAGGAGGCGCTACTTCACTGTCAGGGCGGCTGGGAGCTGGAACCAACTTCCAAGGGAAGTGGTGCTCGCTCCTACCCTGGGGGACTTCAGAAGGAGGCTAGACAGCCACCTAGCTGGGGTCATTTGACCCCAGCATCCATTCCTGCCCAAGGCAGGGGGTCGGACTAGATGATCTGCTTAGGTCCCTTCCTACCCTACCAACTATGAAACTATGACTGCACAGTAACCAGTGTTACTGCACAGTAGCATCCCAGCACAGTGACACTTACTGCACAGTAGCTCATTACTACTGTACAGTAGCTCATTATTACTGTGTGGTAGTGTCACATCATGGTTCATGCCCAACAACGTTACTGCTCAGTAGTAATGAGCTACTGCACACTAGTAACAAGCTACTGTACAGTGTCTCATGTAGATGCAGCCTGTTCCATCTTTGCATTTTCTGTTTATAGTTCATCCTCCCTGTTTTGTAGTGGGCCCTCAACTTCCTTAGTCTTTCTTTGCTGACCAGCCGATCTATAGAACATATTTATAATTTGCAAGATCTTCCAGCTGTTTCCCCAAATGAACAAACACTATGACAATGTTTTGAATAGCGAATCTTATCCTTATTTGTCATCTACTGGAAGACTTCTCCTGACTTTATCAGCTTTGTTATGATAGTGTAAAAGTGATGTTGTAGTTATGATGGTCCAGAAATTATGCAAGAAGAATGGATGTCTTAGAGTAATATCTTTTATTGAACCAACTAAGTACCTGGGATAAAGTTAGACAATTTTTCCAGTCTCAGGAAGAATGTCTTGCATCTGAAAGCTTGTCTAACTTTATCCCAACTATATAGTTGGTCCAATAAAAGAAATCCTAAGAAATCCTTGCTTCACCAGCTTTTGCATTCAGCTCTTAGACAGATGCATATTTAAAGCTTTAAATAAATAAATAAATATTTCAATGAAGATGTGACTTGTCTAATCTTGTATCATTTCTTCTGCCTTTCATCAGAGGAGGAACCTAATCTACCTGAGAGGCCACATGAGATGGCTACTCGCATGTTCACTCCTGCAAGTGGCCTTTCCAACGCTCTTCGAGATGTTTTGACAGACCGCCCAGCAGTATCAAAGTATCACAATTTCCTAAGCGGTTTTCAGATGCACAATGAATATACACAGAATGAGCACTTTTCTAAATGGAAAGGTATGAACCGCCTCTAATTTTTCAGTGGTTTTCTTCTGGGGCTTGGAATTAAGTGAGGAAGACTTATGTGCCTTGGAAAGAACTAAAGGGATTTCATTGAAGAGAGCTGAACATTTAACTCTCATTTGTGTTTTTCAATGAAGGCCAAGGAGAATTAAATAACTTTTTGCCTAAGCTCTCCACACCAAATAGCTAATTTTGAACAAAACTTTGACTATATTGTCCAGTTGCATGGAACTGAAGGGCAATGCAATCATTTTGGTGGGCTTCCACTTATTTTGTTGCAAGTCACAGAGAAGAGTTGCCTTAGGGTGTGGGGAGACAGAATAGTAAGACTGGTATTAAATTTGAGTGGTGTCAGCAGTTCTGATAAAACAGTTTCATCTGTCTGCTCCTGTACTAGTATCAGTGGGACTAAATTGTTGTAATGTAAGATATATTTCATTCAGGTTTAAATTTACAGTGGTTTGGTTCTATTATACCTATACAACAGTGGACAGACATAACAGTTGAATTGAAACAGCTAATACCTGCTCCTAAGTAGTAAGTTTTTCCCTCCCCTTTTAAAATGGTTTAGTTACATACGTCTACATCTTCAGCTTTGGCTTTGCATGATTTATAGATTTTAATGAACCAATTAAAAATAATGGGTAAGCAGAAAGAAATAATACCCTTCACCCAACATAAGAGTGGTGACTGTGTCATAACTGTATCACGAAGCCAACAAAAATGTTTATGTGAGTTTGATAAGAGGGAAGCCCTACTTCCATTTTCTCTAACCTGGGAAATTTGAGATACAGAGGATCAGTTTCTACAATGGTTCATTTATAACAACACATGCTTACCTTTAAGATACTCAGCTAGATAGTTCTCCTAATCAACTGAGAGACACTGCAGAGCACCTGGAGATGGCAGATACTGCATTTTTCTATGATACCAGTTGCCCACCACTTATGAAGCCAGAGAGGAAAGTGGATGTTATCTTGCATTTAAACTACAGTGGAGGATCGCAGGCATTGGTGAGAGGGGTCAAATTTACTTTTGTTATCTTTACTGTTAGCCATTTTTCTGTAAGCCATTGTCAGACAGTGTTCCTAACTTCCTACTTTTGAACATGAAAAGAGGAAATTGATTACAGAAGAAAATATTTTGGATGTTGCCAGGTAGATACTGATGTGTATTCTTCTTGTTTTGGCAGAAATAACTTGCACACTGGGTTTAATTAAAGCACTGAGAGGTGTCACTTCCATTAAAGGCCCGTGTAATTCCAGCATTGTGTAAATTACTAAGTTTTGCATGGAAATGCTTGCTTTCAGTCCAGGTGTGATTTAAATATATAAGGCTTTATCTGGCCTTTTTATTTAATTTTGGAATCATCCAAGTATAAAATAAAGAGTAATTTAAAGACTTCATAAACCCTTCCCATAGGGTTATATGTTCCTATTTTTAACGTCAGCCTTGCTTATGTGAAGATTCATGCATTTGCCATGCTTAGAGAAACATGGTTCATGTATACTAGGTGCATGAATTTCTTGAAACAGTACTGAGAATACAGTACCATGAAAGAAGGCACACCTAGACTTCCATGTATAGAAATACATATACACAAATCTGTGGTAGGCACCATTAAAAACTCAACATTCACTGGGTAAATGTTGTTATTCTTCAAAATGGCATCCCAGCTCAATTGCATGATAGAGGTGTTGAGTGTAAATTAGAAGAAATTGCTGGGCTTCAGGAAAATCGTGCTCTTCTTTTCTGCTTCTAATGTTTTTTTCACTCTTCTATGATCCAGCCTTTGGAACATGCCTCTAGGTATTTCTCAGAGCAGGGAATCCCATTTCCTAAAACTGTGCTGAATGAGGAAGAAAAGACTAATCTAAAGGAGTGTTACATTTTTGAAGATGAAGCGACCCCAGGAGCTCCTATTGTACTTTATTTCCCTCTTGTGAATGACAGCTTTCAAAGATTCATAGCTCCTGGTAAGTTAAGCATACCCAGTCATTTTATTAAAGTAAGGATGTCCACCCTATCCATTGCTGAGACTGTTGATGTATTTTGTGCCAACAAACATTTCTTTAATCTAGGGCCAATGTGCACTTGACTAACTTCTACGAGAAGTGGGTAAAACTGTTTTGGGAAATCATAAATTTGCTGAAGCAGACTCATGCACAATATTGAGTTGACATCAACAAATTATTTCAGCCAAAATGAAGAGGAAAAAAAGCATCAAAAGACTGGATTTCAGCATTTTCAAAACATTTTGGAAATGATGAAACATTTTGTGTGAAGCATTTCCACCTTGAGACAGCATTTTTCATTTAAAAATTGGCCTATTTTTTTAAAATTCTTAATGAGTTAAATAATATGAAAACAAATCAATCTATTCTGTTTTGGTTTGGATTAAGTGTTTTGGGTTGGCCTAAAATGATTAACCTAAATAATTAACACCAAAAATGCTGTTTTAATTTCACCTTAATGAATCTTTCTTTTTTTTCTTTTTAAGTTCTTAAGTTTGTTTTTTTTGCTTCTTTTCCAAGGGGATTCAAATAACTAAGGATGTTCTCTACTACAGTTTTCCTAAGATTCAGGTGTAATTGTTAGAAGGGCTTGCAACAGATTTTAAAAATCTCAGTAGAATTTCAGAGAACTAATTTAGAAAATGGGGTAAATTTAGCAATTTTAGATTAGATTAGGGGTTATTGCAGGGCGCTTGGCATGGCTTTATGAGCACTTGTGGTGCTCGGGCCAGGTGCCGGATGATTGGAAGGTAGCCAACGTGGTCCCCATCTTTAAAAAAGGGAGGAGGGAGGACCCGGGCGACTATAGGCCCGTCAGTCTTACCTCAATCCTAGGGAAACTCTTTGAGAAGATCATCATGGAGCACATCTGCAATGGGCCGGCCTCAGGGATGATGCTCAAGGGCAACCAGCATGGTTTCATTAGGGGCACATCATGTCAGACCAACTTGATTGTCTTTTATGATCAGGTCACAAAAGACTTGGATGCAGGTGTTGCCGTGGATGTAGTCTTTCTGGACTTCAGCAAGGCCTTTGACACCGTCTCCCACCCCATTATCATTAAAAAATTGGGCAACTGTGGCATTGATGCCTACACGGTCAGATGGATTGCAGATTGGCTGAAGGGTCACACTCAGAGGGTGGTGGTGGATGGGTCATATTCGACCTGGGGAGAAGTGGGCAGCGGAGTCCCCCAGAGCTTGGTCCTTGGGCCTGAGCTGTTCAATCTCTTTATCAGCGATTTGGACAATGGGGTGAAAAGCACCCTGTTTAAATTTGCTGATGATACCAAAATTTGGGGTGAGGTGAGCACGCTAGTAGGGAGGGAAAGACTGCAGCAAGACCTGGATAGGTTACAGGGGTGGGCTAGCAAAAACAGGATGCGCTTCAACACTGACAAGTGCAGGGTGCTGCACTTGGGCAGTAGTAACAAGCAGCACACTTATAAGATGGGAAACTCCCT